CAAAATCAATGATACACCTACGGAGGAACTAGAGCAGGAAACACAAGTAGTTGTGGAAGAGCAACTTGCTCAAGTAGAACAAGACTAGCATAGATCAAATATGATACATCACCAACCTGGGAGATATGGTTATCTCGTAATTGATCAAGGTGATGTATTAATCATGGATCAAAATGAGCCTTGTGTCTACAATAAGGTTAGTGGGAGCATGATTATCATCCTGATAGTATATGTAGATGACATATTACTCAAACATGGTTATGTGTTTTGCTTAAATGGTGGTGTTGTAAGCTTGAAAACTTCAAAGCATGATATAGTTGTTGATTCTACAACTGAACTCGAGTGTATTGTTGCCTTGGATGCAACAAAGGAAGTTTTTTAGATCAAGAAGTTCATTATGAACTTGGCATAGTCCATAGCATTGTGGATCCCGTTGATCTCTGTTATGATGACAATCGTGCTATCGCACAAGCTAAGGAGTCTAGATCTCACCAATGATCCAAACACACACTTAAATAATATCACCTCATTCGAGAGATGATAGAAATAGTATATGTGAAGATAAGTAGAGTACCGACACTTGACAATGTCGTTGATCTACTAACAAAGCCTCTTGCACAGTAGAAGCATGATGGCCATACTAAATTTATGGGTATTAGTTGTATACTTGATTGGCTATAGTAGTAGTGAGAGATCGTTGGTGTAAGCCCTAGAGGACAATACTTTTGGTACCTATATCGAATTACTTATTAATAATAAAAGGAATTTATTTATTATGTTTGTTTTTCCAAAATGATAAATTCCCTAGAATAGTTAGTTTGTTTAATGAAATGTTAAGTGTGACTTAATTATGAGATCCCATTTAAACATAAAGACACTATTCTTAAAGTATCTGTAGTCAAGATTTATTGTGAAGCGGGATAACATTAAAGCATTGATATTATTATGAAGATAGACTGATGATCACATCTCATGGATTATGGATAAGGAGTTATCAAGTCTTGACATATGTATGAATATTAGAAGTAATATTTATACTGGATTGACCCTCTATGAGAATACTACATAGAATATTATGGAAAGTGTCATAAGTTATTCTCATGGTGATAAGTGGTGTATACCACCCTTCGACCTGAAACCACTATGGACCCTAGATGTAGAGTTAAGTGCTTTATTGTTGATAAAACGTTATCCGTAATTGGATGACCATAAAGACAGTTGATGGGTACTTCACAAAGCATGTTGAGGGACATGAGTGACCTAGATGTAATTTATACATCCTGCGTAACAAGATAAATGTCTAAGGGCACAATATTGAACTGGACAAGAGTGACACGGTTTATGCCCTGTGTTCAATATAAACATGAGGGCAAAAAAGTAAATGTACACACAAACATTATCATGGATAATATTTTGTCAGATCACAAGACATTTTTGTGACTTGGGTAGCAGTGGTGTGTTGCTAGATACCGCTAACTATTTATTATATTAACTGTATGATTTAATATAATTGCCAATGTTACGAGAACCTACAAGATCACACACATAAGAACATATTGATGAGAGGGAGAATAAATAAGGTACATCGTAACGGTGTACTTGAGAGAATTATGGAACAACGTAAGGTAAGGTGCACTTAAGTAAAATATGGAACATCATATAATATAATAATAGTTATTATTATTATTATTATTATTATTATTATTATTATTATTTTATAATAGTTATAAAATATAATAATAATAAAATATGTTTATTACAATAATTATTATTATTATAATAATTATTGTAATAAGTGTTATTATAACAATAAAAATATTATTATTATTATTATTATTATTATTATTATTATTATTATTATTATTATTATTATTATTATTATTATTATATAGATCACTTAAGTTGGATTTTTTAGCTTGCAATCCACACAAGTGATTCTATAAATACAACCCTTGTGCATAAGCTTTCTCACTTGATGAAGTTAGGGTTTATGAAACCCTGGCCGTATTTCTCTCTATCTCTCTCTCTCACTCACTCAAAGCCTTCATTCGTAGCAGCTAGCACTGAGACTGAAGATTGTCTGTTTGTGTGGACTGAGTAGAGGTGTTGTTCTTTATCAACACTCATGATCATAGCATCAAAGATCTAAATCGCCACAAGAGGTAATAGTTTCTATCACTGACCATGCCCATTCGTAAGGATCACTAAAGGAAAATTTTAATTTCTGCTACGTATTGAGTCGCTATTTTCCTTCAGGTACTAAAAGGATTTTTTATCATGGAAGATACATCTTTGATCAATTCATGAAGCAAGCTGCATCTAGTGCTGTAAAGATGCACATTTATTTTCCCTCACTCATATGTGGAATTGTCTAGGATCTTGTTACCTAATGACAGTGTGAAGAAAAGGGCATCCCATTTATCACTGCATCAGAAATTGTTTGGTGGAACACGTGTTCAAGACATTGTTGTAACATCTCTGGAGGCACATGTTCCTAAAACTTCAAGAGGTGAAATGATTTCTCAATTGAAGGAGACTTGCAAGGAGTTGGAGGACTCTATCAGGACTGACACTGTTAGAAAAGCTAAGCTTGAAGATTTGATTAAAGCCTTGATAGAGGAACCTGAAAAGGAAGCTGAAGCTGTTGATTTTGAAGGCAAAAGTGCATATGAAAATGATATATCTGATAAGAATACATCTGATGGTGATGCATCTGTAAGTGATGGAGAGGATGGAGATAGTGATGAATCTGGTTCTGATGATGATGATGGTACTGGTGTTGCAGTTGCATGAAGACTGTAGCTTTCTTCATTTTTTTTGCTTTGTTTTATTTTATCTTAGTTTATGATTTTCTAAGGGTTGAATGCCCATGATATTTTTAGTTTCTTTTTGCACTTTTTAGGTGCTTAAATATGTTAATATTGCCTACTTACCTTTGTCATATTTTGGCTAAAAAGGGGGAGTAGTATGATATTGAGAGTGTTGGTGCTGGTACTACTGTTGAGGGGAGAATTTTATTGAGGGGGAGTCCCTGCTCTGGTCTGGATGCTCTAAAGATATGTCAGACATGATGTCTTGACATAATGGTGTTGAGAACTTATGTTCTCTATTGGTTGCAGTTGTGTTAGTAGATCAACTATCTACGAATTGTGTCTCTGATTTTTTTGCTGCTCTTATCATAACCTTGCTAATATGTTTTCCACTGGTGTGCCTCTGATGTGTGTGCTTGATTTATTTTCAAATATATTTTATGGTGTTTTCGTGTACAAGGGTTATTTTGGTGTTTTAGCCAAAATGTGCCAAATGGGGAGATTGTTATTTATTTGAAATTATGATTGTCATACATTTTGGTTAAACCAACCTAACAACAACATGTTGAACAAGATGTTCTAACTTGCAGTCTTCAACATATCGAATAAGATGTCTCAACCAGGAGGATATGACACCATGTCTACAACAGTTGACAGTTGTGTTTCAGCTGATATGTTAGTTACTGAATATTCAGGGAATATTTAGTTAGCTTATGTGGCGTCCAAGATTGACAAATAAGAGATTATATGTTGGTTTTCGAAGATATGCAAAGTTTCTAAATATGGATACATTTTAGGAAACTAATGATTAAAGACCTATTTTCTTAGAGAAGATTTTTTGCAGACTTTTGCAGTCCCACTGCTGCGTTTTTGAAGCCCAACCCAGTCTAAAAGAATGTTATATATTGACTGGTGTATACATAGTTTTAGGTGGAATTTACGTGTGTGTGTTTTTGTTAGGGTTTTTAGAATCCTTATTGTTGGGTTGTAATTTCTGTCAAACATCCATAAGCTTTTAAGCATCAGATATTTGTATGTCTGATGCTCATAAACTTTTAAGCATTGAGTATTTGCGTGTCAGCTCTCTTAAGCTTTTAAGCATTAAGGATTGTATCTCTTGGAAGAGTGATTTCCTGTTTTTTGTTCTCTACTGTGTTTAGAGTTGCTCCAATCGCTGAGTGTGATTGAAGAGGGATTTGAGGAAGGCCACATACCTAGGTGTGTCTTAGGTAGAAGTTAAGCAAATGGTAGTGATTAAGTGCATAGATTGCAAACTGGTATGTTTATTATATGGTTTACAAATTGATACTATCTAGTTAATTTCGTCCCTAGCTTGGTAGCCCCCAGAGTATGAGAGTTGCTCCGAACTGGATAAATATATTTGTGTGTTATTTACGTTCAATCACTATTTGTTTTGTTTGTATATCCTGCTGTTACGCGTTGAAGTCAGATATGGTGTCTCGATATTTTTTAGAACATCCGGGATCTGACAGCCAGAATTTCAGTATTTAATAAGTTTAACATGAATTGACGTGTTTAATAAAAAGGCTAGACTTAAGTTATTTTAAAAGTCTATTTAATTAAAGGTAAAATATCATTTTTGGTCTATTAACTATATCCTAAAGTTTATATTGATCTCTTAATTTTTTCCGTGACACATTGGTTCTTTAACTTTTAAAATATTGTCACGTTTATCCTTCTGTTAGTGAACGTTAGTCAAAGTCAAAAAATAATTTCTATATGGAATATAATGTAATGACATGAAATATTTTAAATTTTTTTATTTTTTATTTTTATTCTAATTATAATAAGTGTTCCCTAATAAAATCCAATTTTTTTCACCTGTTTCCTACCCAAATGACCAGCAGAACCAAGATTAAACCCACTAATCTCTTTATCAAAAGTTCCACTAACACTTATAGAAAATCCATGATTCCTCGACCTCTCAGTAAGAGACTCCAACCCCAAATCCTCATTCACAAAAACCCCAATTAAACCCCTCTTCTGTCTACCTTTATCCCCACCACCACTAATCCTAACCGAATCCTCCCCATGCTTAAACGACAATGACACCGACAATCATCAACAGTAAGACCAAAACCCCTCTTCCCAAAACTTTGTGTTCATAATTCTAGCCCAACAACAACCACCACGAATATAGAGTTCAAAATAAAGAGTTACCAAACGATAATGGTGTGCAAACGAAAATCGCGGAGGCGTGAGTTCCGATTAGAGATAAATGATGGATCAACGATGATGTGTTTTTGTGGTGGAGTCGTGAGCAGAAATATGCGGTGTTGTGTGGTGAACTCGTGGTGTCACACGGTGGTCTGGCACGGTGGCCAGTTGGTGGTCCGTGCGAGACATTTTGGCGCGAGGAATCTTGATAAATTTCTCTTCTCCTCTATTTTTCTTTTTGCTTCTCTTTTATCTCATTGTTGCCTTTTTTGATTATTGTGATTTGTTGTTAGTGTTATATGTGTATCGTTGTGAAAAAGCTTGGTGAGAAGTATGACTTTATTGTTAATTGTTGTTGGTTTGAATGTTATGGTGAAGAATGTGTTAGAGTGCTAATGTTAGAACTCAAACAAGATTAGAGAAAGCTAGAAAATAAAAGACAATAAAAGATAACTAAGAAAAATAAACTTTATTTAATTTGATAGATATTCTAAAATATGTCAACGATACTACATATATATAATGATATTAATAAGTCATTAATTAAAATGTTCAAATACAAATAAAGGTCAATAACCATATTAATAATATAACTTCTATTATTATTCCTATCAATAACAATACTAATAATTAATAATATAAGTTCTATAATACCCTCCTATCATTGTCGTTGAATTCACTTGAACCTTGTCTTCAAGGTTCTAGAAATTTTTATCAAAAAGGTCTATGTTACTAAACCAAAAAACAACTGCAAACTTAAGAATCTTTGTTGACATTTGCCTTATATACTTGAGTAAAACCACCCTATCCGGCACAGTTCTTGATGTGGTATTTGATCCCACCAATCTCAATAACTTTATTCCTTGATGCATTTTTCAAAATGGATAAGGCCACTTTTCCCGATACAACCAATAGCAAATGACAACACATACAACAACATGCTACCAAGAAAAAAGATACATTGATCCAAATGCAAAAGAACTAGCAGCAATGATTTGTAGACTCATAGTTATTGTCATGCCTAAAAAGCTACCTAGTAGAAGCACTTTCCTTCTAAGTTTATCTATTAGAATTATTGAGACAATTAATCCAAATAGATTGCATGTTGCAACATAATTATTTCTCATCTTAGATGGTACACCAAAGCTTTCAAAGACAGCTGAAGAGAAATAGAAAATAACATTTAAGTCAGACTGTTACTGCAAACAAAAAACGCTGATCCCATGAACATCACTTTGGCATGACAGCCAAAGAGTTTTGTTGCACCACAATACTGAACCAATCTTGAATGATAAAACACATATAACATGGGTAATCCCGTTCACTTTATGCCCTATCTGTAACTGATCTTCGCATATCAACATCTTATCACTGGACCCAGTCAAAAAGGCCCCTGAATTATTAATGTGCTCAATTGTTGCAGATACCCTTTTGGTCTTGGTAGCACCCCATTCTTCACAAAAGCATCTCCAATCATTCTCCGGTATGATAGTTAAGCCACTTGCAGAAGATTCTTTCTGAATTATAGCACCACGTCTGAAAACCAGTTGAGGAGGTCTTTCAACAAGTTGAGAGTGCTTTTCACACATCAGTGAATCAATTACCCTGTCTAAAGTTTTAGGTATATCTGGATTCTTGAATGATGGACTGATGTAATTTCTCCATTTTAAAATCCATGAAGAAGGCAGCAAGAAATATTTGCAATCCGCAGAGAGAGGCATACTTTTAGCATGGAATGATTTCTCATTATTCTAGAGTTGCTTTTGTTTAACTGATCTCAAAGAATCCTCCAAGCATGCTGCTTCAGATATTTCATTAATGCATTGGGAACACTCTGTAGAACCTGCACCCAATGTTTTTGACATAATGACTAGGAACGTTTTGCACGAAAGCATTTTTTTTGTTTTCTCGCTTCCTTCACTCTCGACGCGATTACATATTTGAAAAAAGACCTTAACATTGAATTGACCTAGTTCTTCTCCATTAAGATTTCCTGATGTATCCAGCACATCACCAGACTCAAACTTCCTCGCATACTCCTCAGCCACAATCATCACAACCACACCTTTCCTCTAAAGCACAACACGTTTAGCTTTCATAGATGCAAACTCATCAACCACATCACAGCCAACAGGAACAACCTTAGGAGCCGGTGGCATAACCTTGGGAAAACCATTCGCAATGAAATCACCGAGCACAAAAACGTCATTGAGAAAACCATTCGTGGCATGGTTGTTGATGCTTTTGTTGGCGATGGTTTCATTGAGAGAACACGGAGATCCTAGCGCACAGAAACAAATTCTTTGACATGTAATTGGACTCAGATGCTGTTGTTGTTGAGTCATTCCATCAAACACCTTACGTACATTTTTTATTTTTCCACGTGTGTGAGTTATTTCAATATTTGAAATAGCATCAGGGGGTTTTGGTGGAACTTCATAATCAGCATCATCAGAGGGTGTAAGGTTGTGTGCGCAAATCTGAAGTTTTGAATCCGTTGAGATTAGCAGCGACCGACTGGATGTGAGAGGAGGTTCGGGTGGTCATGGGTCATATGGTTCGGTGCTAGGGATCAGAGCATCCACCGCAGTGTTGGATCGTATTGCATCGGTCAGAAACAACAATAACTCATCATCAACGTCATAAGAGCTCAAATAGGCTGGCTTTGATGGTGGTGGTGAAGTGAAACAATGCTCTAACTCTAAATCTGACTCCCCCGAAAATAATGGTTGTTGGTTTCATACAGATTGAGCTTCTCCAGTTGTGTTCTATGAAAATTTGATGATTCTTCTACGTCCTATTCAACAGGTTCATAAATTGGATCTATGGACTCTACTAATTCATAAGTTGGTTCAATTTCCTCATCTAAATCTTGAAAAATGTGTCTCCATTCAGGTTTAAAATGTCAAAGAAATACATCTGCAAATGTATTCCAGGACATTGATGGATGAGATTGAGAGCGCCATTTACACCATTTGAGAGCATAACCTCTCATTGCGATTTCAACCACCTTCATCTTCTCCTAATCTTCTACGATATTTTTGGCTCCAAAATATTTTTCAGTGGAAAGCATCCACCAATATGCTTCTTCTACTCCATAGAAATTCATAAATGGCATCACAAACTCAATTTAGCGGGAATGAGATCGAAATGAGAGCACCAGTTGTTAGAGTGCTAAAGCTAGAACCCTAAAAGATTAGAGAAAGCTAGAAAATAAAAGACAATAAAAGATAACTAAGAAAAATAAACTTCATTTCATTTGATAGATATCCTAAAATGTGTCAAAGACTACACATATAATGATACTAATGAGTCATTAATTAAAATGCTCAAATACAAATTATTCTGGACTGGCCCTGCCCTTGGCTAACTACCAGTGAGGCCCAATCCAAGCATGCCAACCTGCTGCGCTGAGTGGTATTTTCCCCGAGCACATCCCAACCACAGAGGTCTTGTCGACCAAGACTGCTTCCCGTCGGTGCTCGCAGAGACCATCTCTGACGAGCAGGCGCTCCTCTCGAGCACCTTCCTCGTAGGACTGACTTCCAACCTCTCCGAATTTCGCGGAGTCTTCATGGTCCCGGAAAGATCACGTCCATATCCCCCGTGTCATCGATGTCAACAACAACATCACCGACAACAATGCCGGCCTCGACAACACCGGTATCGCCGGCCACAATACAGTCCCCAGTGTCAACATGTCCGGGCCTTCTAAATACAGAGACGGAGCAATTGCTTCGTCATCATCTCTGCCTCATCGACTTAAAGATGATCGGCCACCTCCCCAGAACTACCAACACGTCCAGTTCCACGAGGTCCCCGTCCCCGCGGGGGCAACGCCACAACCAGGGCACTGTTCACGGCAATCAATCAAACCAACTACCTAATCTTCGCCCAGGAAGAAAGACTGAGGGCACTCGAAGACGATCAGAGGCCCCCAAGAATACACAGGAGACCTCAATCTACTCCTCCTCGACAAACAGAGGAACATCCCCAATCTCCCATGTGGAGACGTAGTCGGGACATCTCTAGAAGCCCGTCTCCCCGACTAATCGGGTGACGACCCCCCTTGGAGAGGGAACAACTCGTTGATGCGGGAAGGCGTGATCACGGCCCCTCGCGTCAAGAACAAAGACCCCCTGGAGACAAGAACAGAGGAAACCACCAACGGTCATACCGCCCGAGGACTGCTCCGCGCGACCAGGGCCACCTTGACCTCCACTACATCAGATCTCTATCTCGCTCGCCCGAACAGAGTGACGAGGACGACCCTCGCGGTCCCTTGTCACAAGCTATCATGGAGGCACCCATCCCCCCGGACATGGAGAAGCCTCCCCACTTAAAGGAGTACGACGGTATCACCGACCCTGTCGACCATATAGACGGGTTTGAAGCCATGCTACACTATCACAACATCGGGGGACCGATCAAATTCCGGTTGTTCCCCACGACTCTGAGAAAAGCTGTTATGGAGTGGTACAAAGGTCTCGCCCCAGGGTCAATTACCTCTTGGAGAAATATGAAGAACCAATTCATCAGTTCGTTCACTGCTTCGCGATGACACCCGAAGACCGAAGTAGCCCTCGAGGCCATCGTCCAAAGACACGATAAGACCCTGAGGGAGTTTATTGACCGGTTCAACCGGGAGGCTATCTAGGTCCCCTGCACGGACCAAATGAAAAGATACCTGCTCGACAGGGGACTCCTCCCGGGCACTGAATTCAGAAAGGTTGTAGGCATCGAACCACCTCGGACATTCGATGCCCTCCTCGAGAAGGCCAAAGATTATATAGACTTCGAGGAGAGAGAAGCGTCCAACAGAGCCCGAGATCCCAGGAATCGCAGATCTGCCAATAATTTGCGACAAAACACCGCCCCTCCTCGACGAACTGGCGAAAAGAGAAGGGACGACAAACCCCGAGACGCCCGGGAACAAAGGGGGCCCTCAGGGAGGTTCATTGAATACACTCTGCTAAAGGCTACCCGCGAGCGCATCTTAGCAGAGTGCACAAATACAGACTTCAAGGACGGCAGCATCAAGCGTCCTCGCCCCGCTTCTGCTAAACCCGGGGTAGACCGAAGCAAATACTGCCAGTATCACCGGAGCCATGGGAAATTTACTGAAGATTGCGTCCATCTTAAGGACGCCATCAAGACCCTCATAAATGGGGGGGAGACTCGTGCAATATCGGCGAGGTGACGCTCCTCGTCGAGATGCCCGTGAGACGAGGGAAGTAGAAGAGGATGCCCGACCATCTGACGAGTCGGTTCCCATCCAAATTGCGTTCTCCGTCACGAGACCTGAGGACTTCTATGTCCCCGAACATCTGCAAGAGCCTCTGTCTATGCACAGTAGGTGGGAAAATTTCCCCTCCGCCATGGTCATTAACGGTGGAGGGTTTAATGATTTGGCCATAAATTCAGCAAAGAGAAAGCTGAACGAACTGTTCGACGCGGCTCCCCCGCAAACGGTGACCTTCGAAAGGGTGAAAGGCAGATCAGAGTCGATCACCTTTTACCTCGAGGAGCTTCTTGGAGGGGCCCCCAATTCAGCCATCCCTCTTATGATAAGGGCGAGAATGGCCAACTTCGACGTCCATTGTGTCCTGGTCGATGAGGGAAGTTCCGTCGACGTGATGTACAACCAACTGTTCAGAACCCTGCAGCTCGATGACTCACACCTTTCACCATACGTGGGGTCAGACCTGCAGGGCTTTAACGGCTCGACCTCTAAGCCGTGGGGGTAAGTGGAGCTTATGGTCACTTTCGGTGAAGACACCTCTACCAGGCAGGTCAAGGTGCGCTTCCTCGTCATCGACTTCCCATCCCTCTACAACTACATCCTCGGGAGGCCGACACTAGCAGAGCTGACCGCGGCGCCCTCCACCGTCCACCTAAAGATGAAGTTCTACACCAAGAGGGAATGGGTCGCCACCATTCAAGGCGACCTAGCAGCTGCCCGGAGATGGTTCAACGCGGTGGCCAAGGGACACAGCACAGTCGACACCGGGACACGGCCCGCCAAGAAAGCTGCAACTACGCGACCAGAACCTTAGCAGTCAGAGCCCGTCAGAGTAGAGGAGCAGAGGGCCACTCCAAAGGTCGACTCGATCTCGCTGGACACCCGCTTCGACCAAGACGAGCCCTCCAGCGGCGAGCAGGTGCCCCTCCGACCAATTTCGAATGGGGACTTCGAGCTCGTCCCTCTCGGTGAAGATCCAAACAGAGGGGTGAAGATTGGCACGAGACTCCCCGACTTAGCAAGAAAGCAGATCAAGGCCTGCTTGAGAGAGAACGCGGATCTGTTTGCATGGAGTGCTATGGAGATGCCCAGTCTCGACCCTGAGATCGCCTGTCATCAACTCGCCATTGATCCATCCGCTAGGGTAGTAATACAACGTAGGCGTAGGCAGTCTCCTAAGAAAGAGAAGGCTTCTGAAAAAGCTGTAAGAGACCTCCTAGAGGCAAATTTTATTTCTGAAGCCCAGTATTCAACCTGGCTGTCAAATGTTGTACTTGTTAAGAAAAATAATGGAAAGTAGAGAATGTGTGTTGACTATACCGATCTTAATTGGGCATGCCCCAAAGATGCGTTTCCCTTACCTGACATTGACATGTTGGTCGACAACTCGGCTGACTATAAAATTTTATCGTTTATGGACACCTATTCGGGCTACAACCAAATCCCAATGGTAATAAGCGACAAACATTGCACCCCTTTCATGACCAGCTCGGGTGTGATACGGTGGAAGAACCGGACTGTTTAAATGCTGGTTTGCGTTTTTTGTTCGCAAATGTGCGGTAAGCAAGAGTCGCCACCGACTTTTATTTTATCCAACTGGAAAGGAAAAAAGCACAGAAAAATTCCTTTTTCGAGATTTTGAGTACGGGGGGTAGATTATAGAAAGGGAAGGTATTAGCACCCTTTCTATCTGTGGTTTTCCACGGGCTCTTAGGTACTTGCTCATCATTTTCAAAAATTGCTTGTGTGTGTTTGATTTGAAAAAGTTTTTTGTTTTACTTCGATTTAACCCTTGCTTCTGTCTTCAAGAGTGTTACGAAGTCGTTTTGAAAACTTTATTTGAAAAGAGTGTAAGTGTGGAAAAGTTTGTTTTGAGCAAGTACCTACTAGCATCTACCTACTCGAGAAAGAGAATGTTTATGTTCTTATTTCCTTTAGACAGTGCTATCCCACTATTAGTGAGTAGGTAGCACCGTCGTTGGAGTTTTAAGGGTCAATTCGAAAGGGACGTACGATCACTAAAGGAATGTTAGGACGTCTTAGTAATAACCCTAATGTCTTAAGATCAATATTCGAGGCAACATTTCCGAGGCAACCTTTCCGAGGCAACATTTCTGAACGGGACATTTGATCTTTGTTTAGACAAGAGAGCGACCACTAAAATACCCTATACTTAATGATCGTTTACCGAAGGCAACCGAAGTGAGAGTATACCCTAGGAGTGCGCATGTGCGAGTGATTCAATTTCAAGTTATTATCTTTACACATTTAGGGTTTGCTAACCGTTTTAAATTTAACATACATTCTTGTCATGCAACCCTAATATCATACATCTAACAGTTAATATTTGCGAGAATTAAAGTGCGAGAAAATAAAGCTACGCTATTACAAGGCTTCGGGTATTAATTACATAGCCAAAAACCCGTAAAACAAAATATAAATGAAAAAGTCCTAATTAATCTATTACATCCCATGAGCAATTACATCAATATTGTAAAATAAAATAAACACGCGCGACGAATCGAGGATGAGTAAAATTAGGGTTTTGACCCCGTCTAACCTAATTAAAAGAAAAGTCCATTTTGGTTGTTTTCGATTATTTTAAGAAAATAAGGTTTTAAATTAAACATGTACCTAGTTATTAATTAAATTAAATTAAAGAAAATAATTAATTTTGACCTATTTTTGTATTTTGGTTATTTTTAAGAAAAGAAAATAAGAATTAAATTAAAATAAAAAAACCTAATTTTCTAATTGATTTTAATTTATTTACA